TGTGTGTTTCATCAGATTGAAGCTCTTTTCCGTATCTCGTTCGTTGAGAATGAGAAATGGCTGTTCAATTTTGTCAGTGCTTTTTCTGCATCTTTTGAGATATTCCTGTGGTTTTTGTCTTTTATTAATGTGAATTAAACTGACTTTTAAAAAACTGTTACCTATACTCCAGACTTTTTTAATTGCCCTTTAACAAGGAATTTTGTATGTGCTCTTACTGTTCTGGGATCTAGTCTTGGGGTCCACGCTGTTGTGTGTGTCCCCTCTGGTCTGCCTGCGCTTCATGACCATGCCAGTCTAGAGCTGCGCTGGCCGCGTAGCCCATAGCATGTGTCCTCCCGTCTGGGCTCGTCTGATACTTTCTCATGATTACGCTGGGTCATGGGGGGGTTGGAAGGAATGCCACAGAGGTTGGCTGCCCTTGTCATCCATCATACCACTGGGTATGGGACCTCTCTGCCAATGTCACTCTTGATCACATGGCCACGTCCTGTTTGCCAGTTACAGGTAGTACATCTACAAAGTATGGTCTTTCCTGTTCGTGCTCTGTTCCTTAGAAGCAAGTCCCTCATCGTCTGCCCTTCAAGGGCGGATGGACTGGAGTTCTGCCTCTGGTGGAGGGAGGGTTTGGGGGCAGGGGTGCTATCTACATATATTTAGAATTTTTCTCTAAGATTTGGTAAATTAATTTTTTTTGTATCTTAAATCAACCTTGTGCTTCTGGCTAACCTCATTTAGTTGTGATATATTTTCCTGTTTTATATTTTGCTAGATTCCACGTGCTTTTGTTTTTTTTTTTTTTGAGGAATTTTGTGTCTGTATTTATGAAGGATAATGGTCTGTAATTAGAGTTTTTGTGCAATTTGATTGCTCCGTCTCTACAACTTGTAAATTTTCACCATTTTTTTTTAAAGATTTGTGTATTTTGGAGTGGGGGAGGAGAGTGTGAGTGAGCAAGCAGTGGGGAGGGGGCGAAGGCAGGAGGAGAGAGAATCTCAAGCAGATTGCCTACTGCATGCGGAGCTTAATCTCAGGACTCTGAGATCATGACCTGGGCCGAAATCAAGAGTCAGATGCTTAACAGACTGAGCTCCGCCAGGCATCCCTAAATTTTCACAATTGGTAGAATTAATACTTGTATTTGATTTCTATTTCTTAGTATAATAAAGAATTATTCTCTATTAAAATATTCTGTAAACATTAAAAACTTTCAGTAAATTTTTAAAAACTATGTTCTTTATGCTTCTCCCCACCCTGTTTCAGAGAACACCTGTTTTTGTTCCCCTTGGGTTTGGGAAAGAATACTGAATTTTCTTTTAAAAAGCTTAGATCACAGGTTCATTTCAGAATTATCTGGAGAACTTAAAAATATCTGCAGGCCTGGATCTTGCTTTCCCTTAGACTTTCTAATTCTTTTTTTTTTTTTTTTTTTAAGATTTTATTTATTTGATGGAGAGAGATCACAAGCAGGCAGAGAGGCAGGCAGAGAGAGGGGGAAGCAGGCTCCCCACCGAGCAGAGAGCCTGATGCGGGGCTCGATCCCAGGACCCTGAGATCATGACCTGAGCCGAAGGCAGAGGCTTAACCCACTGAGCCACCCAGCAGCGCTAGACTTTCTAATCCTTTATACCTTTGACCCATGAACAGTGCTGGGGTTGGGGTCACTGGTCCCCCCTCTCAGTTGAAAATCTGTGTGTAACTTTTAACTACCTCAGAACATCACTGCTAAGAGCTTACTGATAATAGTCGATTAACACCTATTTTGTATGTTATATGTATTATATACTATATCCTTACAATAAAGTAAGCTAGAGGAAAGAAAATGTTAAGACAATCATAAAGAAAAGACATTTACAGTACTGTGTTTAACCAAAAAAAAAAAAAATTCACATACAAGTGGACCTGTGCATTTCCAACTTGTGTTGTTCAGGGGTCAACTGTATGTGGCAAGATTTTGATAGAGTTGTCTATTTTTAAGAACTTTCATGATGGTTTTCATGTGTACCCTCTGTTAAGAATTACAATTACATCTGTCAGGTTTTCAAGATAATTAAGTAGTTAAAAATCAAGTCTCTGTGTATTTTTGGAAAGCCTAATAATGAGATCACAGATACACATATTTAACTTCATACACAATAGTATCTTACGATAATTTGATTTTTATGTCACCAGCACTGTTCTTCATTGGAGTTTTACTTATGAGTAGAATACTAGCTGGTACTTGTTAAAACTGTGGCGAGGGGCGCCTAGATGGCTCAGTCATTAAGCGTCTGCCTTTGGCTCAGGTCATAATCCCAGGGTCCTGGGATCAAGCCCCACATCAGGCTCCTTGCTCAGCAGAGAGCCTGCTTCTTCCTCTCTCACTCCCCCTGCTTGTGTCCCCTTTCTTGCTGTCTGTCTCTCTCTGTCAAATAAATATTTAAAAAAAATGTGGAGAAACTCAGCAGTTGGCAGATAGGTTATTTGATTCTGTAAATCATAATGGCCAAAAAAGATGCCTTTTTTTCCTTTTTTTGAGCCAGTGTTTAGAATAAGAGGTGCTCAAAGGCACGAGTCTAGCTCAGTGCAGGTTGTCCAGTGGTCGGCTGTGGTTGAGGCAGGCGAGGCCAGGCCGTGGTTTAGCGTGAGGGTTCTGGGCTTGTGTAGTCCTTCGTGTCATTCAAGGCTTGACTGGCCTCTGAGACTTCAGCCAGAAGCTTGCCTTCCAGGAGTTCCACCGCTCAGAAACTACCGTATGCGGTCATTTTGCGGTCCTGCCTTCCGTCCGTTTCTAATCAGTGGCAACTGGTGTGATGTGTTCTCCGGAGACCGGCCTGGGAGTGGACTCGTTGCAGCGTGTGATCGGCTTCTCTCCTCGGGCAGGGCTTCTGTGATTTCGCCCCACGTGTATGTCCGTAGTCGATTCCCTGTTGCTGCACGTGAGCATTGAGTGGCTCCTGTCACGTAGCCGTTCACTTACTGTCGATCTGGTTTCGGTGATCCAGAAGAGAGCATAAGTATGTTCCTACAGGCTCTTTCTGTGAACGTAAATGATTGTTTCTCTTGTGTGAGATGTCCGGGAAGGCGATTTGCTGGGGCGTAGACTGGGTTGGTTTGTGTCCGGCGGGCATTTGCTCCAAAGAAACAGTTTTCAGCTCGTCCTTGTCCTCTCTTGATTTCTTAGGTGGAGATTCAGATGCAAAATAAACTTTATGGATTTCAGTCTTGTCGTGTTTTATGTTAAACTTGCTCGGAAAGTCTTTGCACTGGAATTTCTGTTAATGGCTACATTAGAAATGACCATTGTAGGAAGTAGAATCTTTGCTTTATTGGTAGCCATTTCTTTCTTCCTCTGTGGCCTTGCCACTCAAAACGTGTGGTCTCTGGACCAGTGTGTTAGGAGTTTGTTAGAAATGCAGTCTCGGGCCCCACCGTGGACCTGCAGAATCACAGTCTGTTGTAACAGGATTCCCGGGGATGGGTGTGAACGCTGGATTGGAGCAGCGCTGCTCTGGAGCCTTATGGAAGTGGGAAGCGTCCTTCGTGAGTGAGCCGACCTTTGAGCAAGCCCGGCTGGGCCCAGCGTCCGTGTTACTCATTTTGGTTTCAGATGTTCAGTAAGACAGTAATACTGATCTCAAATGAGCAAATGCCAAGACATGGGTACTTTAAAATTCCGCGGTAGACTGACTGTCGGAATACTGGAAGGTGGTGGTGTCATCGTCACTATACAGTCATCATTTTATCTTCAGGTGTTTGAACTCCTGAAGATGTTAGAGACGTGAGTATAGCAGTGAGTATGTGCATTCGTAGTTGATCTTTTTGCACAGAAAGTGTTGGGGAAAGAATAGAAAACAATTATATTTTGGTTTATGTTAAACTTTTTCTTGTGCATTTTCTAATAAAGTGGTTCATCTTTGTTTCCTTTGAGAGTAAAGGACATTTAAAATTATGAATCACGAAAATAAAGGGGCAAATTCTGTTTTCTTTACATTTACAAAAAGTATTTAAATGAACCTCGCACTTGTAAGTCCGTATTTTATCTCCCAGGAGGTTACCTAGACTTCTAGTGCAAGGGGGAAAGTGGTCAGTATCAATGGGAATATCAGGGCTAAAGTAAGAATTGTTGATGAAGAAATTTTTAGTTGGGACTAGGCTGGGCAGTATTTCTGTAGGAATGCTGATATAATAAAATAAAAGATAAAAGCTGGTTTTAGCATGACTGAGAAAAAAACCTAGCTTCGCTGTTGCAGTACTCTGAGCCAGAGGCAGTGATAAATGAACTCTGGATGTTGAAAGAAGGGAGAGGCTAAGAGTGAGGGAGGACAGATTTTTGGAGTCTGAAGAAACCAACCAACCTAATAGCAGTTTTGGAGTGCGTGCCAAGAGTAGAAATCATGGCAGAGGAGGTCAGGAGTTACTGGGAATATTGAGCCTCTGACAGGAAAGAGTGTGCTCTCATCAGATGTAAGTCACATGGTGGGACGTATGCCGATGACTCATGGAACTCCAATGCTGGCTTAATGTATATGTTGAATTTTGCTGGAATCTGGATCCGGCTTGAGGCCAGCAGTGACTTTTTGAAATTTATGGTTCTTGGGCCCCTTGGCTGGCTCTGATGGTCGAGCATATGACTCTTGGTCTCGAGGTTGTGAGTTCAAGCCCAAAGCTGGGCACAGAGCCTACTTTAAAAAAATTGGAAAAAAAAAAAGAAGGAAGAAGTTCATGTTTTCTCTCTCAGAAGTATAAGTAAAAATATATTGTGTATTAATTACAAGGAAGACTTGAACTTTTTCTGACTTTGTTTTTAATGTTTGAAATTATTTGTTCCTGGAAATCAGGTTAGTGTTTTACATGGCCTTGTCATGGAACATTTTACAGTATCTTTACATCTTAAATATAAAGAACCTTTACGCGTGTGTGTGTGTGTGTGTGTGTGTGTGGATCACGCTTCAGTATTTAATTCAGAAGGATGTGAACTCAGTCTCAGTCCCTTTCTGTTTTGTGTGTCGGTGCTCTAGGGAGGTATGGAAACTTTGGAACTGCAGAAGGACATAAAAGAAGAATCCGATGAAGAAGATGATGATGATGAAGAATCTGGACGGTTACGTTTCAAAACTGAAAGGAAAGAAGGAACAATTATTAGGCTCTCCGATGTGACTAGAGAGAGAAGGAACATTCCAGAAACTTTGGGTAACTTTTTTGCCTGTCTCCCATCCTTCTTCACTCCCGTGTCCGCTTCCTTCGTCGTGCTGTCATGACGGCTCAGATGGGCAGAAACCGTTGGACTCCATAGGTTACTGCGTGTGCCGTCCAGAGTGTGCATGGGCTGCGTGACGTTAGAGCTGAGTTACGGTGCCGTAAAAGTCATTCTGTGAAAATGACTGTCTTCTGGACTAAAAATATTTGAATAAAGTATCTGATTGCTTATTTTTTTAACAGCTTTTTCTTTTGGAGTTGATGGCTTGGACCTGCTCTCAGGCATATACCGTGCAGGTCCTGCTGGCTCTGGGAGGGTGGTGTGGGGGTGGCGCAGGGCCATTTGATCCTTCTGGAAGGCTGATTCTGGACCAGACTACTCGTATTTTGTTCCCGTTAGTGTTGTGATAACCATCTTTTTTCTGTTTTCTTTTCCTGGATGTGATTTCCTCTCCATGTTTTATGAGCTAAGGTACCTTGTTCATAGACATGATTGACTGACTGTCATTCTGAGCAGACACTGCTTTGCAGGACCCGCAGCAGGCCGTTGCTGAGAGCGGAGAGCCCTTCACTGGTCACCCTCCCCTCCCCCTAGGGGTTTGATTTTTCCAGTGTCCAGTGCAGAGGAAAGAGCAGAGGTTCTCCAATTTGAGCAACAGAATCGCCTAGAAGGTTTGCTGAAACACAGATTCCCGGACCCACTGCTAGCTCTCTCGAGTCTGTTGGTTCAGGACACTGCACAGGGCGGTTGTGTTTCTGAGGAGTTGGCAGGTGGTGGTGCCCCTGCTGCTCTGGGATTCTTCTTTAAGAACGTCTGGGGTACTGTGCTGTGTTCTCGGGCCAGGGGAGGTCATAGAGTTTACCCGTTGGGATACTGTACTGTATTCTAGGGAGAGGACGTGGGACGGTGGGGGGATAGGGTTTACCCACTTTCAGGTCAAAATAAAAATCGAGGAACTAACTGTCAGTCACTACATTGATCACTTCTTAACCATTTTTTTACAGTCCTTTTCACTTGGAAACATGAACATGGGTCTGTAAGTGGCAGATGGGACTTCTGCATGAGGATGCCAGGCGCCCAGTGTATACAGACGAACAGCGAGCCTGTATTTCCATGTTACCTTTACGAAGCGAGATTTATGGGGCGATTACTGGTGGACTCCTGGCAGTCTCCACTTCTTTGCCCTCTGATTTCCCCCTCCTCTAGCTTTTGACCCAAGAATGCTCTGCACTTAGCTCAAGTTATGCTGTGAAGTTGCCAGTTGGGCTGAAGCAGGACGGCATAAGTTGCTAAGAAGGAGGATGTGCCGTCGGTCTTGGGAACGCAGGAGGATGGGAAAGAACGGAAGGGCATCTTTCAGCAGGAAGGATAGGTAACATTACACACTAGAGCAGATGTCTCAGGCTCGGGCTGGAGTAGGATGAAAAGGGAGAGTGGACGCCCCAGGCTGAATGGCACAGAGGGAGAATTCATCACTTCTCTGCGGTTTGGTAGTGGCTGTGGCATTGTTCTCCCAGGTGGTGGAACTTGTGTGTCACGTCATAATAACGGGGATAGCTGCAGGTTCTAAGGGTGTGACGTCACTCGACAAACATCGAGAAGGGCCTTTTTCGTCTATAGCCAGCTTCCTGTAGGCCAGCGTGAGGGTCACTTTCCCCTGAACCTCGATGCCTCTCCCACCTCCTGTCCTCAGCCGGGGTCATCTCTGCGTTGTACCTGCCCCGGGCACTGACAGCCCAGGTGTTCGACCTGCTTGTGTTCACTCACCGTCTCTGTGGCTTTCATTTCTCCATCTCAGGACCTTTGGCTCATTTTGCTCTCTTCAGGGTCATTTGTACCTCCTGAGAGAAGAGGTTGGAAGGGGTTAGTGGTAGGCAAGCTGGAGCCTTTAAATACAGGGGTAGAGAGTCTGGGGTCCTTAGAGGTGGAGCGGGGGCTACAAGCGTAAGCAGTTTGGACATTTGCCGTTCTTTTAAACATTAAGAAATTAACCCCTGGGGAAAAAAAAATATATGTTTATAAACATTAAGAAATTACGTTTAAATGCATTTGTGCTGATTTAGCCAGGTAATAGGGCAAGTGGAAATGGTGCTTAAATGTGTCTGTCTCTGCTCCATATGTGTGAGCCCTGACATAAGCAAGCGTAGCATTCGAAACACAAGTTTTCTAGTAACTCAAAGTTAGGGTTATTCCCGGTACAAAAAGGATTTTTCTGTCCCATTTACAGATGGGTTTCCTAAAACAGTGTACTCTCTTATTACCCTGACCCCACCCCCACTCTCCCAACAAAAGATTAGTTTTACATAAAAGAAAATACTGATTGAGAAAGAGAAGCTGCTACGGTGTCTGGTAAACCATAAATCTGCATAAGTTTTACCCGTCAGGCTGTCAGTTCCCGTGCGCTTGGTAGCAGGTAGCGGTTTCAGGTTCTGTACAGAAACACCCAACATTTATTTGACTGTATATAGCTGTTTACCTACTCCTTGTAGGTATCCTGCTGCCAGAGTCTACATGTCATCTCATATAATACGTATTTCTTGACAAGTGATGTTTCTTTGAACATTTTGAAGACAAAAATGATTTTGTCTTAATCATTGATTGATATTGAGAACCTTCCACTCTTTAAAAAGAAGCCTGAAATCGTGCTCTGGCACCCCCTTTTTCTGACCCTTTGACCCTGCGTGTGGGTAGTGAGTTCCCTACACAACCTACAAGGGTTGGGTTGTTGGGTCTCACTTAGTTATTCTCGTGTTCAGATCGGGGACGCCATCGTTCAGTGGGTGGGCCACGGAGTCGTGTACAGCTCCAGAACCTGGTACGCAGTCGCTGATGTGGATTTTGAATTCAGGTAGAATTTTGGGCTTTCCTGTAGGTTAAGATCTTAAGTAAGGAGTCAGCCAGCATTCTGGGAGCTAAGCCTTCCAGAAAATGTGACTTTTTCTCAGTCTCCCTGAGGGTGGTACAAAACCACATGCTTATTAGCAGATAGAGTTGCTCATTCTGTACAAAGGATGCCGTAGGGTCTAAGGGTTTTAATTCTCTGTGGAACGCAGCTGAGAAGGGTTTCTAGAACTGATACGTGTATGGGAGTAATGTATTTTGAATGGAAATGCCAAAAACCATCTCTAAAAAGTAGGTGTCAGTGACTGGTTTTTCTTAAGTCTCAGCACAGAAGTTCAGAGCTGCTGCTGCTTTGGCCTTCAGAGGTGGACCTGAGAGTTCCTTTGAGAGCAGTACACGTGGTACCTGAAAGACTACTTTCAAGTTAGGCCTTTTTTTTAATCCATTAGTCTGTGAGTAGGCATCGAGATTTTGCAGTATTCTAAATTTTACTGGCACATGTAAATGTTAAATTGCATTTTATTGCTTTAGCCTAAAGAAAGAACATTCTTACTATTTCCACATATTGTTCTCTTGAAATAATATCCTTAGTTAATTTTGTTTAAGGCCAAGGACCTGTGGGAAGAATATTTTCATCTAGTAATAAACCGTTCGAGACGGATAGTGCCAGCCGTAGGATCCTGCCTTCAGTTTACGTGATGGTCCTTGTAGTACAAGCAAGGTTTTTTTTTTTAAAACAAATTGCTTGATCGAAATTCTCTTACAAAAAAATTCAGACTATCATTTGTTATTTTTATTTTGCCAGATAAGCTGTGTATTCTATAAATATTTATCCATTATGTATTCGTCCAACTACTATAAAAATTATTTATATGCAAATGTTATTAAACACATTGTAGGCAAGGACAATACAGTATAGAACTTTGTTACATTCAACTATGTCTCTTTACTTTAGAATATGGACATAGTTCAGAAAACACTTAAGAGGAAATTAACATTTCAGTTGAAGTTACAAATGTAATTTCCATCCTGTCATATTTTGGTGACCTTTTGTGACAGCTTGTCTCAATTGGAGGAAAGCATTTTTACTTGCTGATTAAAGATGTCATTTGAAACCATTTTATTACTGGGGATAGTGAAATTAATCTTGACACTTAGAACCACTAGAAAAATAATTGCTGATTCACCGCAAAAAATGTGTATATGAACCAATCATGTAGTCAAGATTAGAGTAAAAGTCTGTGCTTGTTAAGAGGAGATTAAATTTTCTTTTGAATGGGGTCTAGACTTATTTGAAGGGGAGGGCAATACCATAGAAACAATATCAAGAAAATGAAATGTGGCTTAGAGATTTTGGAAGAGTTTGGTGGTGATTATGGAATCCAAGGTAGAAGATGAACTGATAATGTTTAAAATTTGCCCTTCACTGTGGAAGAAAGTGTAAGAATGCCTCTCGGGATTCAGTGAAACCTTTCGAAGGTTTACGTTTGTTAATGTAAGGTACCCCAATTCAGGTAATAATTTTAAAATAAAGGAACCGTATGAGTCAGTCAGCTTTTCTCTTTTAGGAATTTATAATAATGTGCCAGCTGAAGTTTTTTAGGGCCAGAGTCTGTGTTTTTTGTGTCCTTAAAGCATTGGTCAGAGAGGTGAGCATCTCGCGGGTGTCCCACAAGCATTTGCATTAATGAGTTTTTTCTTCTGTGCCTTTGCTTTCATCTGATAGAGCTTCCCTATCAGACTGCATGGATAGAAGTGTTTTTTCACAGAGTAAAGGTCTGTTTTGATAAATCTGAAACGATAATGAGTTTTCCATTGTATGAAGTTAATTGATTTGCAGTGTTTTCACGGATAGTTTCGTTTACTTCAGCATAACCAGTAATGTGTTTTATTTCATTTGGAGTCTGTGTGCCACTGCACAGCCCTGCTGCCGGTACTGGTCTCACCGAGCGCAGTGCACTGGCCGAGCCCACTCCTCGCCGGCACCGCCCGCCGGTACTGAGGGAGGGATGGCGGCGGCTTGAGGGCTGTGTGAAGTCGGGCCCCAGCGCATTCCTTTAACTTCTCCCTGCACATTTTTGTGGTCTCTGGTGAAAACACTGTGGCTCCTGTGCCTCACTACAGGTGAGGTTCACGGGCGGGCCCCATCTTCATGTAACAGGTGTCACTAACATGCTACGAGTGTCGCTGCCAGTCTGCTGGCCCCCTGTGGGTGAGGCCCACGCTGCCTCGGGGTGTCTTGTCATGTGAATCTTCCCTGTTTCTCCTGTAGATCTAGTTTCGGCTCTTGGAAGAGCTCTGACATCTACCCATCTTTTCAAACAGAGCTTTCAGCGGAAGCCAAAGCTGCGTTGCTGGAATTCGAAGAAAGAGAGCGACAGCACAAGCAGGGGCGCTATGGTTCGAGGCGGGGCGGAAGGAGAGGAGGCTCTGTGGTGTGTCGTGGAATGGGAGACCAGAGGAGAGACAACAGCGAGCGGGCGAGAATAAAAGATCACAGACCGGCCCTGCTTCCGACGCAGCCTCCTGGCATGGTAAGGGTTAGTTTCACGGCGACAGTCCGAGACTTTAGTACAATGAAAGTGTGCCTCCATGGGTTTCAGACTCGGGGTGTATCTCCTAGTCTGAAATTAAGGTTTTATCGTAGGAATAATGGCGAAAGTTTCTTTACAATACGCGCTCACTTGTGGTCCAAATTCACTCCTGGTATTCGCGTAGTGGGAGGATTCTGTACACAGCTGCTTACGGAGAAAGAAGTAACAGGAGGCCTGTATCTTCAAGGGACGAGAACCACCGGGGAGCCTGGCTTCTGTCCTCCCTGCTTGTAGAGGGCTGCAGCTCCCGCGTACCCGTACGCAAAAAGATGGCTGGGTTCCGTCTCCAATCTAGGTGGTACTGTTGATTTTATCAGAAGAGTTGTTCCTTTATACTGTTTACCGGAGGTCTCCCCTTCAGTGGAGCGGTTTCTCTTAGAGTAACTGTCTTCTCCTACCCATAATCATGTACTTGGAATTTCAGTTCAGTTGTATTTTGTGTGCATTTCGAAGATGAGATATCGCAGAAGCAAAGGAAGGAATTATAGTGGTTATTTTTTTACGTGTTCTTTTGGTTGGCTTTAGGATTTTATGGCTTTTTCCTTCAGAAGTCAGTCTCCAAGGACAAATTGATTTAATACAAATATGTGTCCACTCTGTCTACTGCATGTCCCTCCTACATTTTTATCTGAATTCAGGGAAGGTCACGCTTTGCCTCTTTGTGGACGAGTTCAGTGTCAGGAAGCATTCACTTGCGAAATGATGAGGTGGAAAGGGCGCCTACTGTTCAGCGCGAGAATACCGACTTCGAAGTGAAGGAAGGGGAGAGAAGTCGGGTTAATTTCAGTGAAAAGAAGTTGCCGATGTTGAGAACTGCTGTTTCTTCATACAGCTGTTTCTTTCTTACGCTTCTCACATAGCAAAGAGACTGGACCTTTCATTTCTTCTTTCTCTTCCTCGTCCGGTGCCCGCACCCCCAGCGTCTCGCTGTGTACCGAACAGCCAGTTTGGTTAGTTTGGCCTCCTCGGGGTGGGGGGGGACCAGCCACACAGGGGATTGTGTAATTGTGTCTTCTGTGATCCTGGAAAGAAGGGGAGGTCCACAGAGAGAGGAGGTGAGCCCACTAGCCTCCCCAAAGAGAGGCTGGGCTGAGAGGAGCCGTGAGCGCTTTGACATTGTTAGCCAAGGGGAAGACTGCGTGGCCGCTGCCCTGGGGGTGTCATGTCTCCGGCATTCTCACGACCGAGCTGGGCTCTGCAGCTCCCTGTGAACTGGAGATAAGCCTGTGGCGTGACCTGCTCGGCCTTGTGGCGCTCTGGGCCGTAAGCTCTGTGCCCAGCCGTGCGCGTCGAGGTCCTCGGTTCCACTTTGCCAGGAGGACCGAAGCTGTCGGAGATGAACTTAACCTCACTCCCACCTGTGTCTGTCCTCAGACCACAAACGCTCTTGGTCCTGGTTACTCCCCAGCCCAGAGCTGTCTTGTCTTCCCGACTCTCTAGAGTTCTGGGAAGAAGAATCTTCCTCATGTCCTTGCATCAGTGCATTTTGTCTCACGTCGGTCCCTTGCCGCCTCAGCTCCTCTCACGGTGCTCTGGGAATCGCTGCCTTCCCTGGGCCAGTCCTTCCCGCCGCGCTCGGGTGCGTCGCACACCCCGCGGAGCTCCTGTGCCCCGAGCCGCCTACGTCGGGCTGGGCGGCGCTGTCCCCCATCTGTCCGCTGCAGCGGCCTTCTTGTCAGCCCTCCTCCTGGCCAGAGCTCACGCTGGGTGCCATCGCCTTCCTGCCACCGGCCCTCCCTGTGCACGTCTGAGTCCCCGGCCCTTCCCTTTGCCAGCTCTGCGCTCCCCAGCTGCCCTGGGCCTCTCCAGCGGCTCACAGCCCCTACGCTCGCGGTCGCAAACGTGGGATTTCCTTAGCACGCCTGGCGTTCGTGAGCGGAGGACGCTGCCCGCCTTCGCTGTCAGGTCGGAGCCGCCTCGGACGGCCTCTGCGCGCTGCTGCCCGGCGCCTTGACTGTCCCGTCTGCGCTGCACGCGTCCCCCGCCGTGCGCTAGAAGAGGCGCGCGCGGGCACCCCGAGCGCGGGTCCCGTGGAGGTGGGCTGGCCCCGGGGCCTCTGGAACAGTCTTCCCCGCGACCGAGGCTGCAGCCGGTTTGGTCTCCCAAGTGTCTTGGTGCCTCTGAGACGCCTCTTTCCCTGAGGCTCTTCGTCCGGCCGAGGCCCGTTTCCCGTTTCCCGTTCGGCTCTCGCCGCAGCCCGCGGGGCGGCGCCTCCAGCTCTTCGCGCCTCACGTCCGGGTGTGTCCGCTCGCGCACGCGCACGCGCTCGGGCTGGAGCCGCGGTCCCTCAGGCGCTGCGGTTTCGGGAGCCGCGGGCATCGGGCGGCCCGGCAGGGAGGGCGGGTGCTGCGGTAGACGGGGCGTTAGCGGAGTGGCCGCCTCTGCTACCCAGTGTGGCCGGCCTGGTGCACGCAGGGGCGCTGGACTCTGCTTCCAGCTGCCGGACCTGAGGAAGCAGGACTGGCACGAGGGGCCCCTGCAGTGCATCGTCCGCGGGGGGTTCTGGGTGCGGGGGTGCCGCTTACTTTGTATTTGGACCTTGACATAGGGCTTATGACACGGGGTGGCCCTGTGCTCAGCGATCGTGCCCTTGTGGCCACTCCCCTCCCCTTGGGGCTGGTGCTGATGGGACCACCCCGGGACTGCTTTGGGTGTCTGTTTTCTTTCCTCTGTCTGTCTTCTGTCCCCATGGCTGTGGCCTCACTGCTCCCTTGTTTTCCCCAGCCGCCGTGTCTCTGCCCTTTCCCTCCTCCTGTCCCCCGCTGCCTCGGGTAGCTGGGCTTTTCTTGGAGGCCTTGTACCTGGCATGGCCGTTTGTGCACATCCTGTCTTTATTCCCTGGTTTTCTGGAAGAGGAGCCGCAGGACCGGCTGTGGGGAGGGCGAGGGCAGCTCGGGCTCAGCCTGCAGCACAGTGCTTGGCTCACTCTGGGCAATTTTATTGGCTGAACCGAAATTTTGTAAACTTTTGGAGTCCATGTGAGATATTTTATTTTTTATTTTTTTAAAGATTTTATTTATTTGACGGAAATCACAAGTAGGCAGAGGGGCAGGCAGAGAGAGAGAGAGGGAAGCAGGCTCCCTGCTGAGCAGGGAGCCTGATGCGGGGCTCGATCCCAGGACCCTGGGATGATGACCTGAGCCGAAGGCAGAGGCTTTAACCCACTGAGCCGCCCAGGCACCCCCCATGCGAGTTATTTTGAGGCTGTGATTTTTTCTCTCCTTGCCCTGAGGCTGGTTCGCATTGTGAGGCAGCTTGCTGGGGACGGGCAGTGCAGCTTACTGGTCCCACTATGTGACACCAGTTGTCCCTGCAAACTTACTTCACACCATCCTTCCCGCTATTTCACCAGGGTAAATCTGTAAGGCGTCAGCCTTCCCTTACTCTTCTTCTGAATGTTGATTTCTGTGAATTTGTCTCCTCTTTTTTGGTGGTTTTCAGACGCACTCTCCAAGACTAATCCCTCCTCCGCAGCCTCAGCCGCCGCCGCCGCCACCGCCGCCGCCACCGCCGCCGCAGCCCATCCGAAGTCTGTTCCAGCAGCAGCAGCTGCAGCCTCTGCTCCCCCTGCAGCACCCGCACCACGCCTCGCCCCCGCAGGGCGTGCACATGCCGCCCCAGATAGAGGCCCCGAGGGTGATGATGACCCCGCCCCCCGTGACCCCCCAGCAGCCCAAGAATATACACATAAACCCCCACTTCAAAGGGGCGGTGGTGACGCCCGTCCAAGGTACGTGTCTCTTCTGCTCCTGTAAAGCCACGGGGTCCCGCGGCCAAGTTGTCCTCACGGGCACGTCTGTAAGGACGGTTTGGCTTCTTTGCTTCCTCCCCTTGCCCCAGGCACCTGCCAGCTTGACCGGCCAGACTCGTTTGCTTACGAATTTGTTCCTCTCATTTTATAACACGGTGGAAAGCACTGAGCAACTTCTCAAGGTCAAGGGCAGCAGAGGTCATTGCGGAAGTGCCCGAGCTGGTAGTCTTCATCAGTCCTCCAGTGGGAATGTTTGCACAGTGCGCTCTGGTGGTCGGTTCGAGTGAGCAGCCGCACCATTGCGCTCCCACAGGCGCGGCGGCCCAGAGCCGGGAGGCCACTTGGGAGCAGGGCTGTGGAGCGGGTCTTCGCACCTCTGCTCAGCCCACGCCGACTGAGAGACTGCTCGGTCTCTGGCGTTTGAGATGCGTTGCTGAAAAACAGTAGGTAAAGCCCCCTGTGCTGGTGATCCTGCTTTCTAGGACACAGAGGCGACATCACGTGCGCAGCGTGAGCGCGCAGACCACGCGCCTGGGCCTGGAGTCGGCCGTGCAACTTGGGAGACGAGGGCGGGCTTCGTACGGAGCTCAGGGTGAAGGTGGTCAGGGAGCCAGCGACGTCACTGTCTCAGGGGAGAGCGTTCCAGGCAGGGGGATCAGCAGGGGAGGGTGAGACCACGCCATGAGTGTTCCAGAAACCAGGAAGACATGACATGACGTGAGTGGAATGGTGAGAGCAGAGAAGGACCGTGCAACCTCTGTCACGTGAGACTTCAAGCCCTCCGAAGAGCCGTGGTTTTTCCTCTGAGCAAAGTGGGCTGTGACTGGAGGAGTTTAAGGAGGGGAATGACGTGATCTGGTTTCTGGCTTAAAAGAGCCATTTTTGCTGCTGTGCTGGGAGTGGGCTTTAGGGGCAGGTGGAAGCCAGCGTTCAGCTAGGGGACGGCGACGCTGACACGGGTAACGCACGATAGTGGCTCAGATCGGGGTGGTGGCAGTGACGGTGGAAAGCCGTCAGCTGCTAGACCCAGCAGGACGCGATGGACCGGGTGGGGGTGAGGGAGGGCAGAGGCAGAGGGGTGCTGGGGGATCTAGCATCTGAGGCAGGCACTTAACCGCCCCCGGTGGTGGGGCAGCAGTGGCTTTGAGCGCGGGAGGCCCGGCGTTCTGCCCCAGATGGGCCTGCGGGTGTGGCGTCCCGTGTGCAGTTGGTGAGAGTTGGGACCAGGAGGTCTAGGTTCCAGTACAACTTGCTGGGTGACTGGCATATAGGTAGGTCGAGAGCCTGCGCCCAGTGAGAGGCCCAGAGGAGGGAAGTTAAAGTGTGGGGAGAGCCCAAGGCCTGGAACCTGGACATCTCGGGACCTGGCAGGGGGTAGCAAGGAGGAAGCGGAAAGAGTTGTGGGGGGCAAGCGGCGGTGGGAAATGGCCTCTGCCAACAGGGCGGCCGTGGGGGTGGACTGCAGGCTGATGACCACCCTCGGCAGGGCGTCTTGCGCATTTTGACAGGTGGTTGTGGTGTCATGGGGAAGGTGCCTGTCTCACTCAGGCAGGCTGGAGAGAGATTGGGGCACAGAAATGGGAGGGCGTGGCATTGACAGTCCTTGAAGGTGTTTTGCTAACACAGAAGTTGGATGGTAGTTGGCAGGAGGAAGTGGGCTTGAGGGAGCGTTTCTTATTTTCAGATGGGGAAAGCAGCAGCCAGTTGAGAAGGAGAGAACTCAGGGATGCAGGTGAGGGCAACTGCGTTTGCTGGGCATGGTAGGACACAGGAGCAGGACGGTGGACAGGAGGGGCAGTGTTGCGGGTCTGAAGAGGGGAGAGGAGGTATGGAGCCTCCCTCTAGGGGAGCGGAGGAGTGGGCGTGCTGGCGGGGGCTGTAGGCGTGTTGCAGCCCACTTGAGCTTTGTGGTGGGGAGCTTAGCGTCAGACCGCAGCGTGGCTTTGGGGCAGGGGCACGGCTTGCATTTGCCAGAGGCCGGGTGTTGGGGCAGTGGCGGGCGGCGCTGCTCGTCACGGATGAGAAGCAGGTGCGGTCACTAGGAGAGTGAGGTGGTGAGGTTGAAGGTAGAGGGGAGAAGGGGGCTCTGTAGAGACTGCGGAAAGGTGGGTCACCGATGACAACCAGGTCTGGATGTGGCTGCTGTGTACTGGAGGGCAGTAGTCGGGGACCCAGGAGACCGGGCACAGGAAGCATGGTCTCTCTCGGGACTAAAAGCGGGGCGGGAGACTGGTAGGACAGGAGCTGAACTCGGGGGCATGAGTTAAGCCAGTAGAAGGACAGCAGCGGGGGGTAGGGGTGACACGTCGGATGATGCAAGAGCCAGGGCTGGGTCTGAAACAGCGCTGACAGCCCTGAGCAATCCCGCCTCACCTGCAGAGCCGGCAGGGAGGAAAACAGCCCCATCTTTGGGAGCGTTTAGTTTCCCACTGATTAAGAGAGGGGTGGCTGAGGCCCCCATGGGCTCTGCTGATAGTGAACTTGGAATCCCAAAGTTGCAGAAGTTGGGGAGAAGCCTGAGAGGGGACTTGAAGTGTGGGAGGAGGGCGGTGGCCTGGAGGCACTCTGAAATTGTTCTGAGCCTTGGAGCCATGTCTGGTGGTGAAGGTGGCAGGCTGGCCTTGGGCGTGTTATTGGAGACTGCTTGTGCTTTACAGACCTGGGAGGCAGAGGCAGAGCGGGTCCCCGACACCCTGATAGCCTCTGCCTGTCCCCAGCTTGTACTGGAATCTTTTTGCCCGCCTCATCCTCCGCCGAGGCTCTGTGCTCCCGAGGCAGACAGGAGGGCTGCTGATGTCCCCAAGGTCGTCCTTGTGACGGGCCCACAGCCTGTGTCTCCTGCAGCAGCTGCGGGATGCGCGCACCCCTGCACCAGAGTAGCCCTTTCCGCAGAGGCTTCCTAGGACAGGTACCTGCACTCAGTGTCGCTTGTCAGAAGAATTTTACTGAGGTCAGCATCGGTTACCTTGTATTTCCTCATAAACACTGAATGGAAAACTGGCAGGTGGGGGATGCACAGATACTTTTTTAGCCTAATAAAAACAAGTAGTGTTAGAAGTCTGGAGTGGGAAAGCTTCAAGGAAACCCCAGGATAGCTTCCAGATAGGAAAACCATGTGCCTTGCCAAAAAGTCAGCAGCCTGACAGATACCAAAGGCAGGCCTTACACCGTAAAGCTCGTCGTTCCATGAATGTAAGGCCAGCTCTGACAATGGGTTTTACACTCTTGGAACCAGCTAAATGATTTTTCAGTGTGACGCCTGCTGCTGTGGAGCCCATGTTCCTTCTTTATCGTCCCTTTGGTCTCGAGCTGGGCTGCTATGGGGGGAGGGCGCAGCCCTGTCCTAGCTGGGCGTACGCACAGGGTACTGCTGAAGAGTCGCGTGTTCCCCAGGAGATGAGTGTGCCCTTCCTGAGAGAGGCTGCCAGTGTCTGCACGTCTCCTGTGCCTAGCGTATACACTGCCCCAGGGTCTCAGAGCTGCAGGCCACTGACAGGTGCATGGAAATGTTGTTTTAAAAGAAGTAACAGCATAAGCATGTCTTTTCCTGATGGCACACATTTTCAGGGATACAGAGGGTTCCATCATATTATAATTAACCAGTTTTGGTGGAAATTTAACTTGTGTTCTAGATTTTTGCTTATTTAACTGTTGTAATGAGTTAAAAACTTGATCGGTTTAGTCTGTTAAATACATGGGACAACAGAAAGATAAATGTTAAATATCAAATATTCCAAGTAGAGGGTTCAGCAAGAATGGTGTGTTACCTTTACAAGTATTAAATTCTTCTGCTCATGGTGCAGAGAGAGGCAGCTCGTTGGAAGTGTCCCTGCTCATGAGCCCTGGAGACTGAGGAGCTCCCCAGGGACACTTCGCAGAGGCCTTGGTGGTCTGACCGACGCCCTCTCTCCAGGCTGGATCTCTGATCTGCCCCTCACACCTGTCCTTAGGTGCTTTCTTCTGTCACTTTTGTTCTTTTCCCCCTCCTTCCTTTTTTTGTTGCTTTTTACAGTTTACTTAAAAAAAAGGAAAAGAAAGCAAGCCAACTAACGAGGAGGCTTCTGTGTAAGAAATCTGTTAATTATATAATCAGATTTCTTCCCAGAGACTGCGCCTAGCTTTCTTGCTCTCATTCCCCGCAGGTAGAGAGACCTAATTTTTTAATCTTTTTGTTGTATTGGAGGTTTCTGACAAGAATTGATATTTAAGTGCCAAGTTTAAAAATCAGTGGCACATAGTCTTGAAGGTCTGGGTACTTTATATTTGGTGTTTAATCTACAAACCATCATCTTTATATTGTTTAATATGTAGTTTGTCTTTCACTTTCACTGTAATCTTTTGAGGTCAGAGATACTCTAATTGTTTCTTTCTCTCCTTCACAATCTGCTCTTTCGCTTTGGTTAAATTGATGAACTCCTCCCCCTTCCCCAGTGCCTTTTAGCAGGCTGTATAGAGTTGGGGACCGGGTCTTGGTCTATGTAAAGCCTCTCAAATTGACCTCTTCTCATTTTGAAATTTTGCCTGATTGGATTAGGCTTTCTCTCTCTCTCTCTCTCTCTCTCTGTCTCTCAGCACTTCTGCCATTTTACATTTTATCCAAGTAAGTTTCTTTTCACCACACTTTGTGTTTGATGGGTGGTGACTCTGTACACACCATCCCTTTAAATTGGACCTGTGGACGTCTGACCCTCATTACATGGCTTGATGTCTAGAGTTCCTCGAGTACCTATAGTAAATAAAATTTATCTTAGTGTTCTGTTTTTATAATAATTTTGGCCTTTAAGCTGTATCATTTCTCTATTTCTCATTCACCAGACTTTTTTTAAATTGAGCATTTGGTATGTGGTGTTATTGCTATTTTATCTTCTCTGTCTCCTCACTTGGCTGGTTGTTCTCTGTGCACGTCTGTGCTCTGATCTCTTGTGAGGACGCCAGCCGGCTGGATCAGGGCCATCCCTGCGACCTCATTTTACTGTGATCACCTCTCTAAGGGGCCTAGCCCAAAGGCAGTCCTGTTCCGAGGGCCTGGGGGCTGGGACTTGAGTGTGGGCATTTGGGAGGGGACCGCAGTTGAGCCCGTAACACCTGAGCTTACCGCGTACATCGGGCAGTCATTGGGCTGTGAAGTGGGAGACGGTACACCCTGGAGAGCAGTCCCCAGGCGGGTGGTGGTTTGTTTTTTTCCCCTCCAAAATCAAGATCAGTACAATGCATACGTTTGAAGTAGCTTGAGCATACCTGAGTTAGCCCCAGGGTATAAAACGGACATGTGGCTTCTTCCCTACTATAAAATATCTGCTTTGAAATTACATGGTTTTGTGTTCCTCTGGTAGATGGACTGGAGTTCTGCTTCTTTAAAAACAACCACCCAAACCGAACCTCTGGTCTCGGTGTGGTAGGTTGTGTAGTAGATGTTTCCTTGTAACACTGCTGTGGGCATGTGTGCCTTCCCTCCTCTGCTGTCTCCCTCCCTGTCACGATTCTAGAGGATTTCAATGTAAATCTGTATTTGGTTGGAGTCAGAAAATGTAACCGGAGTAGATTATCTGGATAACTGGAATATGGATGTGAAACACGGTGCCTTGTTTCGTTTTAGAGGAGTAAGCTCTTTGTTGCAAAACATTTTAGTTCTGCATAGGAATCCCCCGCTGAAATCTCAGCTTCTGCGTGTGCCCGCGTTCTGCTCGCCCATCCTTGTCTGGGGTGCAGGATAAGTGTAACCCTGACAGAGTACGGATACTGTACACAGAACATACATTTGGTATTAAACTTGACACACTGTATTCCTTTCTCGGTGGGTTTGTTTGTGACGTAAAGGGCGTTTGTAACCAGAGCTGTTTTTCTTCCTAGTGCCCTTGCTGCCAGTCCCGAGCCAGCCGAGACCCGCTGTGGGGCCGCAGAGATTCCCAGTGAGTAGCAGCTGCTCCTTCTGCTGCGATAGGACGAGCATACGTTTGCCGAGAAACATTCATACAGCAAATATGCGTGGTTCCAACTAAATATAAGTTTAAAGATTTGTAAATATTGACAATAATTTTTGCACTGGAAAATGTTTGTTAAAAGCTTAAAGTCAATGGATTTTTGAGAATGTAATTAATTTTGTTTAACTGTAAAAGTGTTGAATCAGGATCATCATACAGTGCCTTTCATCTTAAAGAGGTGAATTTTGATTTCATTATTGAAACCAGTCTTTAAGTACTTTTAAGTGAGAAAGGGTCTTGCTTTATCATGGTGTGTGTGCGTGCACAGGTGGATTTGCGTACGAGTGGGTATGTGTGCAGTTCTGTGGATTAAGAATGATCTCTTGGGGCACCTGGGTAGCTCAGTCGGCTAAGCGTCCGACTCTTGGTTTCGGCTCGGGTCACGAGATTGAGCCCCTGTTGGGCTCTGCCCTCAGCTTTAGAATTCTCTCTCCCTCTGCCCACACCACCCCCACAATCACGCGTGCATGCTCTCTCTCAGATAAATTAGTCAGTCTTTGTAAACTTTTTAAAATGAGATCTCTACTTGCTCAAAAAAACAAAAAGCAAAACAAAACAAAAAACCAACTGAACCCCAAAAGTCTTAATGAGCTATTGGTTTTGTAGTTTAAAAATGAAGGTGTTTCTTTTTAAAATACCTTTACAAGAAAGCACCAGTTCTCCCCCCTCCATACTTTGCTATGCTTTCCTTAACTTTATCCATTCTTTTAATATATTTTAACTGGAAGAAAAATATCTATTAAATAGTTGTATCTGTTTAAATAATTTTTTCTTTTTTTGAGTTTTGGGTTAGACTTGTCATTAGTTCTTGGCTTCATTAAATCAGTGAGGACATGTTCAAAAAAAATGGACCAGACTATAAAATTTTACTATCATTTGTATATAAAACAGATACAGTTTTGTTGAGACTGAATAATCTCTGATTTCAGGAAATATCTAACAGACTGGTTGACCCTAGCTTTGACACTTAAGGACAGCATATTTTTTATAAGGCATTTAGCAAAAAGGTTTTAATGAGGTCTCTGGGTGTACAGTCAGATGATTACTCAAAAATAAAATCAGTATTAGGTTTAAGGTTCAGAGTATTGTTTTTAGAACAACTTTGATTTGTTATAGTTATTTATGAATTATAATTTGGTTTCTAAAACTGATTCTTAGTGGTTTTATTCCCTTAACTATTTTTTCCTTTAAATTACTTATGAAGTACTAAAAACGAGGTCTTTAAAATTAGGTGGTGTATTTATTGAGTATGCCTCTGTGTTCAAAGCATTGTCCTAATAGACAGGGTTTATTAACTGCATGGCCCACTGATAAGTGTGTGTGTTTTAGTTGTTAGATACATTTCTTCTTTGAAGTAGTTTACCTGCTAGTTACTCTAAAGCACTCATATTTTAGGTACTTTTTGCTGTTTTTCAGAAATGTAAGCAGCTATGCTATAATCATTATTAGACTTGTTTTTGTGTTTTGTTTGCATTATAGAGATAAAATTTTGATATGATGTAGTTTAAGGAAAACATGAAGCACTGTTGTTTGTACTTGGTATTTTTATAAAAATGTTTACTAATATAAAATTAGGATAATCATTTGTAATTTTCGTCTACTTTTATTTTTCTGTTCTGGAGATACAATTTTATCTGATCCTAGAAGAAGCAAATTGCATAATACTGGAGGATAAGGGGATAATAAAAGAAAATTTCTTTCTCTTTCTCTCTCTCTTTTCTTAAAGATTTATTTATTTTAAAGAGAGAGCACAAGGGGGGGTGGGCAAAGGGGAAGAGAGAGAAAGAGAAAGCAGCAGACACCCCACTGAGCACAGAGCCCGACACAGGCCTCAGTCCCACGACTCTGAGATCATGACCTTCGCCGAAATCCAGAGTCAGATGCTTAACCTACTGAGCCACCCTGGTGCCCCTAAAAGAATATTTCTTTGAGAAATTGAACTGTTTTTTTAAAAGATTTTATTTTTAAGTAGTCTCTACACACAATGTGGGGCTCAAACCCAGAACGCTTAGACCAGTCGTCACACACTCCACCGATGGAGCCATCCAGGCACCCCTGAATTGTGAACTTATTTTTCAGTTATATGGTTCAGTGGGGATAGTAAATACCGTTGAGCTGCTTTTGGTAGAGCTTCTGCAAAGTGTGATGTTTTGTTTTGTTACTGTTTCTGAGACGGGCGGTGTGTACAGGCGGCAGGAGGCTGCTGGGCTACACGGGAGGCCCCTGCAGCTCACTGGTCTGTTGGTACCTGGCACGTCCCGTACCTTCTCTTATGTCCCAAATGCTGGGTCTTAAGCTGCAGTTACAGCGTGCCTGTGGTCTTGAAAATGCAGTGCTCTGCTTATTTCTGTAGTCGGTCTTCCTGAGAGCAGATGATCAGGTGTGGAATCTGTACGTGAGAGGTGGCGGCACCCCTTGGCTCAGTCAGTGGAGCTGGGGGGCTCTTGCTCTCAGGGCTGAAGTTCCATGACGCGTGTAGAGAGGACTTAAAATTTTTTTTTTTTTTAGAAACACACAAGAGGTAGTATGTTTTAAATAGGTGTACTACAATATCATTAAGAAGGGGGACCAACTCTGGGCCATTGCCTGGTACTTTACATAAACCAGATCTTTATTGGATAAAACTGTCCCTTTTTTGCTAGGTTGGACGTGGTTGCCGTCAGTGTAAATGTAGTTTTGTGAGCATGTGTCTCCTTCCTTCCAAGTGCTTCTGCATAGTGCTAGTCCCAAACCACGAAACAGACTAGGAGAATTCAGTGAAGCCAATTTTGACCAGAGTAAAATTATAAAACTAGTGGGACAGTCTTGCTGTGTTTTAACAAAACCCCGTGGAGATTCCTTAACTGATGGCAGTTTGCCCAGGGGTGTGTCCTGTTACTTTTGCTTTGTGAGGTGACCCCCCCCCATACTGATAAAGCAGTCATGTTGGGAAGCCTGACTTCGGAATCATCATGGAGTATGTTCAGATCAGTAGACGTCCTTGGCACACAAACAGATGTGAGTTACACTGATCTGTTGAGCAAAGTGAGGTTCACTGCAGTCTCGCAGCGCGATCATTCGGTAGTAATGTGCTGTGTCACTTACTGAGCCGCTGTTGAGCGGTACTTCCTGTGCACAAGGCCCAGGGCTAGGCCAGGTCTGCTGGGCACAGGGCAAGTAGGACTGTGTGCACAGGCTGATGTGCAGCCGTGGATCGGGGACTCCTGAGCCGGCAGCAAGAACTCCACCTGTCCTCAGAGCAGTGGGGGTTCCATAAAGGAGCTTGGGCTGGGAAGGACAAGATTGCAGGGAGTTTCACTTTGCTCCATACATTTCTGTATTTCACATCCTTTTGTGTGCCAAGGACATGTACTGACTGACTCAAGCAGACTCCGTGAGGAGCCCTGAATAAAATGAGTAGTTTGGAGAAGGGATGTGTAATTTACGTTTTCACTTGTTTTTAATGGTACATACACGAATTTGCGCCAGAGAATTACGTCACGTTCACTTAAATTTAGACAAAAATTCAGCTCTCCCCATCTGACCAAAGAGTAAAAAAGGCAGCCAGTACAAGTACCACCACATTTCCAGATTTTAAAGGAATTAGTACCTAGTTGGTATTAATGGTAAGGTGTTTTGCTGTTCCCCAACAGTGACAAGCGTTACTTAAAAATCCATTTTGTTTGACAATTTTAGAAAAACTTGGGAAATTCTTAATTTAGAGCTAGTACACCTAGAAATTGTATTAGGTGGTAATGCCTCCAATTTTTAAATTAAAAATCAGAGAAGTCTAGCCAAGCTAATAAGCCTGTTTTTCATAGAATTATTTAAGATTGTTTGAAAAATTCTAATCTTGGGTGAAAAGATGGTATTCTAGGCTATACGTGATATAGTAGGAGAACTAATATTTTTATTTCCTCTTTGGTGAATTTTATTGAAAGACTTGAGTAAACGGTTTTTAAGACAAAGCTTGAATGTCAGAGTACTAAATACTGTAAGAAGGGCACCCTTACAGTTGATGTTTTTGGAAAATTCTGCTTCAGCTCTTGGCACCCAGCTGCCTGTGCTCCTGTCAGGAGGCTCCGTGTCTGCCCCCGGCCCTACTCCCTTATTTTGGAGTTTGGTGAATTGTTTTGTGATGCAGGTTTGCACCTAAGAATCAGATCCGTGTCTTTAATTTTCACTATGGATACAGTTCTTAGTGTCGCACTTTAAAACATTTCTCGTCACGAACTATAATTCCCACGGTGCTTTGTTCTGTTTTATAAAGATCTATCTATCTCCGTATGTTTGATAGCGTTGTCAGAGAATGAATTCCTTTCCTATCACAGTATCACTCTGCCAAATGTAAAGGCTGTGTCAGCTCTGTAAACAGTGAGTGCTGACCGGAGCTGACGGGCACAGGAGGTGAGCGTCTGCCTTCAGGAGTTACAGGTGCTGCTGTGTAAGGGCCCGTCCCTCCCTCCTTGTCTGCTCCTTGGTTGTGCCTTCTACCTCCTGCCATCCTGCACGCTCTCCTGAAGCTGCCTCACTCGTGTTAAGACCTTTGAATGTAGTTTCACAGAACAGTTGTGGTTTTCTTTGTTTTGTTTTTATGGGGGAGCGGGGTGGGAGGCTCCTTTACCTTTCTGCTCGTGATCTCTTTTCATTGCCAAATGCTCTTTGTTTTACAGGTTAGTCTGGTAGGTTTTCCTTTTTACAAAGGCTGTCCCTGATGTTGTTGTCACTAGTGTAAAGTTGGACGGCTTGTTTTTGTCTGTAAGTGTGTTTTCCAGTTACGTATTTGCCCTCAGAGAGGTGTTCATCGTTTTTAAAGTCGGCTCACTTAAAAAAGTAACGTTAAAATGTTGGTTAATAATATTTTGAGGTGTTGCTTTGAGATTTTGCTAACCTAATTTGTTTTAGTTGTCGGTACAATTGCTCTTTTTAAGCGCGTGGGTAAATCCCGA